TACCATGTACAACTGCCACCCCGGACGACGCCTCTCCCAACTCAAAATCAGGGGTAGCTTTATACTACATCTTGACAAAACATTAACTTGTTGATTTAGCATATACAGCAAGAAAATGAACAATACTGCTGACCCAGTACACCTTATCATGGGTGGAAACATGCCACGGGGTCCACATATGTCAGTTTTGCTGCTTCGTGGCACTCAAAGTCCAGAAAAACATGTTCTTTATGACACTCCAAGTACAGAAATAACATGTTATATAGACCTATAGATAGTCATACGTGTTTTCCACCCTGTTGTCATTCCAAAGTCCATAATATTGGGTGAATTAACATGGCCACCATATAATATTTCCCACAACACATACACACATATATATGTGTGTATATATTATATATATATATATATATATATATATATATGCACATACACACATATATGTGTGTGTGTGTGTGTATATATATATATATATATATATATATATATATATATATATTAGGGGTGTCAAATTATCGCGTTAATTGCGATTAATTAATTACAGTCATATTTAGCGCGTTATGTTTTTTAATCGCGTTAATCTCATTTTTATTCTCTAACTTTACTGTTTCTGTATGCGAGTTGCTTTATTATAAAACCTGTTTTTATGTGTTGTTGGGACAACACACACACACACAAAAAAAACACATTTATAATTTTTTTTTATTTCGGTAATTCCACTCATTGCCGGAAACCCACATAAAACACGCGCAGTAAGAGCGATGTAAACATTATGTTAACGCTGGCGGCGTCAGTCGCACAATGGACGAAGTCGAAGAGCCAGTAGAACAGAGGCAGCAGTGCACTGGTAAAACACATTTGTGTCTTGGAAATTATTCTCCCGAAGTGAAATATAAAAGAAAATAACAAACATAAAATCGCCTACAACTTAAAGCTTGCATAATATAATCAGTAAGATCATCAGTCTCTGAGGCTAAACTTCAATGAAACTGGAAACATTGGGTCTCAGTTCATGTATATTTACACACTGAATATTGCACATTATTTCATTGTTGTAATGAATAAATACACTGATTTTAAGATGGGTGTAATGCAACAATATACTATCGAAAGCAGACAACATGCCAAAGAAACAACAAAATGATGAACTGGTCAGCTGGTCCGAGTTCTTCAAAGCAGAAACCTCCACCTCAGCCATCTCTGCAAAACTGCAGCCTGCATGGTTACAAGGGGACAGTAAATGACAAGCTCATACTTTTGTCTTCTAAGGCTGATCCACTGAGTGCATTTGCTGCTATCCATGATATGAAAAAGAAACTTCACACACAAACATTTGATTGTGCTGGCTAGCAAGATATTGTTGAATCAATTGCTGTTGAATTGTGCAAAAAGAACAAAAATGTGGCTGTTTGCTGCAGGTGTTCCAATCAGTAGGAGCAGGTAGAGGGTGCTCTTGGAAAAAGGATCAAAACTCAAACATAACAGATTCCAGACACTCCAAACAAGTAGAAAAAGTAAAAAAAAAAAAAGCACACGAGGAAAATTATAGTTAAAAGTAGAGCCTGACCGATATATCGGTTGGCTGATATTATCGGCCGATATGAGCACCTGGAAGCATTTCGGCTATTGGCCGATATGCTTGCCGATAGGGGCCGATATTTCAAGTGGGCATGTTATACCTCATTATAAAGTTTAGACTCTACATTATGTTAATTTAATCCAATTTACAGACAGATAAATGTCCTAATATGTGGCTCCCGACCGAGTCCCGACACTCAGTCCTAGTTCAGTTCTGGTTTAGTCCTGCCTTAGACCTGCTTTAGACCTGCCTTAGTCCTGCTTTAGTCCTATGATATATCATGTAAAGAGGCAGAATAACAATAAATGTTGCCTAAATAAACCCAGTTTAAAATCCACTAGAGCCAAACCAGTGAATTTTTACATTACACTAAATATATCAGTGATTATATCAGGTATCATATCAGCTCCAACTCCCATTATATCGGTATATCAGCCACAACAAAATCCATATCGGTCGGGCTCTAATAAGGTATATAATGATCTAGAAATTATTACTAGTGTAGTGTTTTTTACCCACTGAATAAATCAGAAGTCTGAGGAGCTAAAGTGATATATGACACATACTATACGGTAATATTTTCTGGTTAGCTCTAGTTGTATATGTCTAAATATGTTCTTAAAATATATTACATATCTTCTGAGTTAAAATAAAGACAATACTCACTGTGCATGTGTTATATGCTCTGTAAGTGCATTAAGGGATCGCACTTTTCTGATATAGCAAGTCTGAGGAAGAGCTATTGGCTCAAAACAATACTGTAAATAAATCTATGTGTGTATCACTCTCACCACCCATTCTAGAAAGCCTGCAATGTGTGCCTTTGTTATCATTTACACACTAAATATTAAATGTTTTAGTGAGTGGTATAAAAAATCAGTTTTTTTTTTTTTGAAGAACAGCTGGAGCATGAAATATGAACTTTTCATGACAAACACATTGCACGAAAACAACCACACTGGGTTATTATTATCTACTCATGTATTGAAGGATTAATATGGTAATGTGTAATTAGCACCATTGGATTCCTTGACCCTTACAATGTGGGTTTAGCAGTACAAATCATCATTTCAGTTTATTCAGAAGTTGAGATACTGTAATTTTTACATTTGCGGTGGCCATTTTTTTAACTTCAATATGGCCGCCATATAGACATCTGGGCAAATGCAAACATTGATTTTCTGACTCCATATTAGAGCCTGACCGATATGGATTTTGCTGTGGCCGATATGAAACCGATATAATGGGAGTTGGAGCTGCCGCTAGCCGATATAATTGCCGATATATTTAGTGATGTAAAAATTCACTGTAAATGTTGAATTGTTTAAAAAACTTAGGTTTGGCTCTGGTGGATTTTAAATTGGTTTATTTAGGCAACATTTATTGTTATTCTGCCTCTTTACATCATATTTACAGACAGTAGGTTGGCTTAATGGCATTTTTCATCACATTCTAGACACTAGTGATGGGTATTCCAGTTCTTTTTAGAGAACCGGCTCTTTTGGCTTGGCTCACTAAAAGCTGCTGGTTCTTTTGGCTCCCAAGCAGCTCTTCAGATTGTTTTGTTGCAAGCAGGACTGAATCAGGACTGAACCAGGTCTAAACCAGGACTAAAACAGATCTAGACCACGTGTAAAACAGGACTAAACCAAAACTGAACCAGGACTGAGTGTTAGGACTCGGTCTCTATCTCGTGCCCAAAATTAGTCCTGGTTTATTTATTTTATGCTAAACTATAGCCAAATATGCACTTTTTTTTATCCTATGTACACACAAATTTCTCAGTTTCGTTTTCAGCCGCTGCCAAACCACGAGTCTGCATGCCGCGTGAAGAGAAAAAAAGAGAGGGAAAGAGAAAACACGACTCCCAAAAAGGATCAGGCTCCCGTCGTTCGCTTCAAAGAGCCGACTCTAAGAGCCATTTTGTTCGCGACCGACCCATAACTAGTAAATAAACAATCGCTATTAGCCTTTAGCCGTAAATACGTGCGCACCGCGGTAATTAATTATATGCGCAAATGTCATAATTCACACCTCTATTCACAGCTCATTTACATATGAATGCAGGTCCAGTAACAAATATACGACCAATATAATAAATTTACAATAGGCCAATAGAAAACAGCCTGTTTATGTGTGAGAGCTACAGCAGCTAACCCATAACAAACGACCAAAACTTGCTTCAAAGTCGACATTTCCAACACTCACCGCTCATACAAGCTCCTCCTCACATCACAAGTCTGCGCTAATAAAGTCCTTTTAATCCAGATTCAAACCAGTTGTCCGTAAAAAGAATATAATCTCAATGTTTGGATCTATGTCTGCGCGTGTAAACAAACGAGTGACACGACTCTGTGGTGTGTTCAGGGACAGTACGGACACACACAGACAAATGACTCCGCAGATAAATACTGATGTGGAGACACATATCAGGACATTTATCTGTCTGTAAATTGGATTAAATGAGCATAATGTTGAGAGTCTAAGCTTTATAACGACGTATAACATGCCCACTTGAAATATTGGCCCCTATCAGCCAATCGGCCGATAGCCGATATGCCTCCAGGTGATCATATTGGCCGATAATATCGACCAACCAATATATCGGTCGGGCTCTACTCCATATACTATAACCTTTCCAAAAATAATAGTTTAGCATATCCCCCAAAAATTCCCACTAAGGTTAAAATTTGAATATAAGGAACTGGACTATAAGAGACACACCTAAGTTTAACATGTCCCTATTGTTCACTTACTTAGTCTTTTCTAGGGGTACCATCATTTTTGTCCAGGCCAGTTTCATTATTTATTTATTTTTTTTAATAATTCTGTTGAACAACAATTAAAAAACAGTGTATGATTTTCATTGGTTATTTGTCAGGAATTTTTTTTTTATTATTGCTTTTCTCAGTTTCAAGTTTATTTCAGTGAACATTGTTGATTTTTCTTTCCTTACTAGAGGGGTACCAACAGTTTTGTCCAAAACTGTACTTGGATGCTTGCTGTTGTGTCATTAGGCAAGACACTTGAATTCACCCGGATAGTCAAACGTGATGTGTGTGTGACTATTGGAGGTCGTTGGAGGGGCTAATGGTGCAGATTGGCAGCCTTGCTTTTGTCAATCTGTCCCAGGGCAGCTGTGGTTACAGTAGCAGCTTGTCACCACCAAGCATGAAGTGAATGACTAATGCTGTGCACATTCATGTAATGTGCCTTTTGAGTGTTCGAAAAAGCTCTATAAATGTAATGCATTATTATTAGTGTAACTGTCTGATATTTTCCGTTTGATGGTGAGAGTTAAGGAATTTTAAAAAATCATTACTATATGATTAAATAACAATAAAAAAAAAAAAACATCATTATTCCTAAAAAATACCGTAATAATAAGCCGTGTTTCCTGATGTCTCTCCATGTGTTTCAGTCTAAGGCCTCGGACATGCGTTTCGATGGAATCTTTGAAGAGAAGGAGATCATCCAGGAGTCCAAGAGGCAGAGAGTGATAAACTCGCGTTACAGAGGGGACTACATCGAGCCGGTCATATACAGAGCCATAATGGAGTAGCACAAGCAGAAGTAGCTCTTACAGAGCTATTACAGTTCTATTTATATATTTTTTACTATCAATAATGAAGGTTTTGTTTGTTTGGTTGGTTGTTGTTGTTTTTTTTTGAAGGATCACTAACAATTTGTTTAATGGTACTTTTCTTAAATTCTGTTTGTCATGACCAGTTGCAGACAGTAACCACAAATCTGTTCAGAGTGGGTCTCTCTGTGGTTGTATTTAAATGTTGAACCATTTTACAAGAGAAAAAGGCAGAACAGTAACAGACACTGCCCTGAGGACTCTGTCCTTAACTGCCTTCTTATTTTCACTTAAAGTCCTTGTATTGTTTTATTTAACAACCTGCAGCTTTTCTATTTACTGACAAATTCATGATTAAAAATTATTGATGCTACTTACATATTACAGTCATTAAAGGGTTGGTATAGAGTGCAAACTGTACAGCAGCACACATCTATACTCTTAAAATAGTAAACATGAAACATGAAAAAATAATTAAATTAACCCAAAACTAAAACTTTAAAGAGGGGGTATTATGCCAAATCGAATTTTTGAAGCATTCTCTCATCAAAAACATGTCTGAAGAAGTTTTAGCCTGTTTTGTTATTTAAGCGGTATCTCCTAAAAGTATCATCCTATCCAAAACTCAGCCCACAAGCCTACCTCACCCATACTGCTGTGTGTAAAGTTTCCATAAATATACATAAACAAACCTGATGCGATGCAGTTGTTTCATTAATTAAATGCACACAGATTGAAATGTAACAGCCCTCTGTAGGTAGTTACTTTGTGTGTGAAGCAAAGGGGGGTTATGAAACATGTTAACATTTTTTAATGAAAATAACACATAACAATAAAAGGGAAACCTAATGCTCTGTTAAGGTTTGTTTAGCGGTTTTAGCCCTATAGAAGTGAAATACCCCCTCTTTAACTCCTAAAACCATATTTAGAAATTGTTCAGGGCTTTAAAATATTTGCAGTTGGCTGTATCTAGCCACATTGACTGTCCCAAGTGTTGGTTGGGGCAGACTAATGGTAAATATGGCACAACATTAAGAAGGAATTAAGCTGTGTGTGCCCAGCTTCAAACTGCATCAGTACATTCAGTGGAAACTACATTCTGGTTCTTATGTTACATTTCATTTTTTTCCCCTAAACATAGACTATGTTCTAAACATGTATTCGTCATCACCCTACCCTCATCCTGTCTCTAATCATGGTTGTGCAGCAAGGCCTGAAGCTCAAGTCAAATGATTAACCTCATTGCATCAAGTTTTGTTTCAATTTAAAAAAAGAACTAATCCAAGAAGATCCCACTAACATGTGACAAAACACCCACCTCCTCTTTCACTCGGTATACAGACTGATGCTGATGAGCAAAAGACATGGGGCAGAATATAAATGGTTGAATGAGTCCACTGCTGACATTGAGTCTTACATTCCATCCCAAAAGCCATCAGAAATGCATTGTGACAATTTGGCACACTGGAAACATATCTTAATATCTGGCTAATTCTAGCCATATACAGTAGAGGGTGTCCAAGCTATGACTTGGGGGCCAAATGTGGCCCTCAGGACCATTTTGTTGGCCTCAGGCCCACTATTGAATTGACCTAAATGATCATAGACAGTACCTGTTACTGCAAATTTAAGTTTCTTGAACAATAACCTTAGTCACATTGTGTTGCGATACAGACCTAAAATTAAAATCTCAAGTCTTATTAAAGGTTGCTCGGACAAAGTCATCTACAAATATGTTTCCATATCTGGCAACTGGTGACGAGTTTGGACACCCCTGTATACTGTATAAAATACAGTATTATGATTTTAATTGAAACAGTTAAAGGGATAGTTCGGGATTTTTGACGTAAGTCTGTATGGTATCCCTGTGAGCAGTGTCGTGCATCAACACTGACTTACCCCCGACAGCGTCCGGTGAACCGAAAGTAGCCGGGCAAGTTGGCTAGGGACTGTATAATAAAGCGTTCTTCTTCTCAAAACAATATGTGTTCAAAAGAGTGATACATTTGCATCACAAAACCATCATCGCCTAAAAAGTCAGACCTCATTATTGCTTGGCACTATTTTCTTTCCATTTGTATCACTGCGCGCTGCCGCCAGGTGACAGTCGCGCACGAATCCATCACTTTCTGCAGTTGTTCGGCAGTGTTTACATGCGCAGACCGCCGCCACGCGAGAGAGCTAACATGAGAGCTAAAGCCATAAGTATATAAGCTTGTATAAGATACATAAGAATAAATCTAAAAAATGGTGTGAACTCTTGATTATCCAGGCTGTAACAACAAAAATCTGTCTGAATCTCCACACACATTTCACTGTTTTCCTGTCACGGACTTTGCGCTGAGGAAACTTTGGCTTCTTGTCTTTGGCTTCAGTGTGGAAACTAAACCAGGTAAGAACGAAGAAGTGCCGCTGTGTTTACAAGAGAACAGGTTCAAGAATCAGCTGTAACTCTGTGTGCAGTAAATCACTCAGTGTCATATCACCAGTGAAGCTTCTACAAAACGTAACTTTATAAGTCGACTGTTATTACTATTGTAAATGTCGCGTACACTATTGTCAGCAGCTACGTGGACGTGTGGATGATTCATGTTTCTATTAGTAGTCCGTGCTTCAGTCACAGTGTAGACTCTATGTTCGCTGTATATGAGTTTATAAATGACGTGATGGTGATTGTCGCTTACCCGGTCTCTCACGACTACAGCTGTGGCTTTAGCTTCAACTTGTACCACTTCTCTGTCTTTTCTCTCTCTCTCTGCCCGTTCTAACTCCGTCTGGCGAATTTCAGCATCAGTATATTCAGGTTCACAAAGATCTCCCTTTGGCTTTGTGGTAAAGGCAAAGTCTTTATTGTCGGTGTCGTAATCAGACATGTTGTCGCTAACATTCCGAGCAGTAAACAAAGTGAACCAGGCGCGGCTGTCACCTGGCGGCAGTGCGCAGTGATACAACGGAAAGAAAATGGTGCCAATCGATTATGAGGTCTGACTTTTTAGGCGATAATGGTTTTGTGATGCAAATGTGTCACTCTTTTGAACACATGTTGTTTTGAGAAGAAAAACGCTTTATTATACAGTCCCCACACAACTTGCCGGACTACTTTCGTTAGCACCGAAAACGGCCAGGATCTCGGCTCACCGGACGCTGTCGGGGGTAAGTCAGTGTTGATGCACGACACTGCTCACGGGGATGCCATACAGACTTATGTCAAAAATCCCGCACTATCCCTTTAATAGATCTACATTATGCAATGTCAACAGTTCCTGCTTATAATAGCATTAGAAAGATCCATGTTTTGTTTTCACTTGTGCATGGTTGTATCCCTTTTGAGTCTGAAAGTGCTCGATCATGATGTGATTCACTCGGAACCCAGGAACCCGTTGTTCATGTTTTTGAAGTCAGCTGGCTCTTATGGATTGTTTGATGTTCAAAAGGCCCTCACAAAGGTGCATCTCAAATATGAAGCTAGCAGGTACTTTTTAAACCCTCATTTACACTGCTTAGCTCCTAAGTGCAACACTTTTTTTTTTTTTTTTTTTTTTTTTTTATATTCAAGTTGCTTCATGAAATAGCTCCCATACCTTGGCTTGTCACTAAAATGTTCACAATGACAAAGTAGAGAATTATTGAGAATTTGATAATTGAATGAAGTCACAACAACAATTTGCGATTATATCTTTATTAGTTTTAATTTGAGATGTGTCTGTGGATGTACTTGACCAAAACTGCATTAGCCCACTGTAAACATGTTATGTTCTGTCATCAACCTATTAACTAAAAAATGTACATATGTGTGTGTGTGTGTGTGTATATATATATATATATATATATATATATATATATATATATATATATATATATATATATATACACACACACATACACACACGTATGTATGTATATATATATATATATATATATATATATACACGTATGTATATATATATACACACACACACATATATATATATATATACGTATATATTATTGCATTTTTATATGTAAAAATTGTGGGAAATCCTTTTTTACTGTATATACATCAAATGGATCATGCAGTAAAGGTGGCTTTACATTCCTGCACTAATAATTCAAAAGTTGGGGCTCACCTATAGCTTCAATTATCAACATTTCTGAGTACCTTTGTAGAGTAAGGTCTGAGCTGTACAGGAACTTGTTATAAAAATCATTAAAACATTTTTTTTATTTTTTTTATTTCTTTTAGAAATAATTCAATTATTGTCAACTCCATCAGATGCACAAACATTATGTATTAATAACAGTTATTTACTGTTGTGTCCAATTGAACCATTTCTGAAAATGTATGTATGTATACACGTATACATACATAAAGACACACACCATGTAACGTATATACCATGTAAGTTAACATTTTTTGCATTTAGATGTCTTAATGGCCAACTTTAATTTTGTAGCAGATTATGTCTTTTGTCTAGATGTAGTTGGAAAATACAAAATTAACTCACAAAGCTGGTACGCCGCCAAGCAGTAGTTAATGTAGTAGTAGGTACTGTAAAATCTAATGATATGTGAGAATACAATAGGATGGAGTTAACATACAGTATGAAGACAAATTGTTCATACAATATGATTTTAAAAAGTTTAAAGTTTAAAAAATAAATGTAAGGTACATCATATAATTCTGTGGGTTGGCCATTTTCAGTCTGCCGTTGGCCTGGCTCAGTCTGCAGTTGACTTACTATAGTTCTCTTCATGAGGTTTGGCTTGTGAATAACCCATACGCCTCTGCGAAGTTCTCAGTGAGATGCTCTCAGTGAGACCATGTTGCACAGTGATCAAATGTGCCCACGTACTCCAGCGCTGCACGGTAACAAAACTGGTATTGCTCCTAGAACAAGACAAATACAGAGTGAGATTTCTACAGGCATGCTTTTTTGACACTACCCTTGCCCAGTGTTGTGCATGAACGAGTTCAAAAGAACACATTCACTGAACATGTTCATTTCAGTGAACTTTGAACTGAACGCAACACATTTGTAAATCAAGAACTTGAACGTGAATTTGTTCAAATTATGTGAGATACCTACGTCACTGTTGGGGTTCAATTAAACATCGGAATTTGTTTTCACCTGACGAGTGACGATCTGCTCACACTTAACCTCGCGAAACCACAGCCGCGTCAGCGCAAAGCTGGCTCCACCGGCAGCTCTAGCGGAACGTACTGGCTCTTCTGTTTCTCAATGGAAAAGCCAATCACATTTGACTGGGCGCGTTTAGCCGCTTGTATTTACCTTCTGTACAGGCTGACCACGGCAAATGCCAGGATTTCAAAAGTAAATTTCAAAGCACTAATGAACAGTCTTTGTGGAGCTGGGCTCTTTCACACGATACAGAACTGCCCCAGGAGCACGTGTGCTGATGGTAAACGCACAAATACAACAACAGATCCATGCTCTCTGTGTAGCTTGATGGGGATACGAGCCTGTGTTCGCGTAGAGCGTCAAAAAAATAGGATGGATCCTGTTTTCCGAATGCGCATAGGACGTGCTGCTCCATACATGTGCACGTGCAGTGGAACCGCCCTCATTCACTTTCAATGCATTCTTCAAATTACACGTCCAAAAGTTGCAGTGACATCCCTCTGTCACAGAAAGAACACATATAGTCGTGTCTTTTAGTCCAACAGAAGCTGATGCATCAGTGCACAAAGAAAAAGCTGCTTTTTTCCAGCATTTACAATTTATGCAAATTAGCCATGTGGTTTTAAGTTTTGTTTCTATAAAACGTAAACAAATGTGTCAAAGCTGAATTAAACACATTATAATCTCAAATGGGCTGATGTGGTAGAGTGGTTATGGTTAATATCTTGTAAAGTTGTTGCAAAACTGGAAGTCAGTTGAAAAAAAAGTTCAGTCTTTCATTTACAAATTTCATCTAAAAATAAAATGAACTGAACTTTGAACTAGTTCAAAATTAAAATTGTGAACGTGAACTGTTCACTTTGAACATGTGTGAACTGAACTTTGAATTAGTTCATGAAAAGTGTGAACTTGCACAACACTGCCCTTGCCCTGCCTCCCAGTAAGGTTTTAACTTTTTGAAACAATAGTACTTCTAACAATAGAGGTTATGCAGATGGCATCAAAATGTTCAGAATTCATGCAGTGAGAGCTCACTGAGTAATGATGTTTTCCTGAGACCAAAACATAGTGTAGGAGAGCTGTTACTGTCAGATAATAAATATAAAAAATCAAATCAAATCAAAATTTCAGAATGGAGGCAACTGGAGGCAAAGTAAATACACTTAAGAGTATTTTTGAACAAATCTAAATGCTAATGGTTTTTTTGTTTTATTTATAATTTGTCAAATTTAAGGGATTGGATACCCAGCACATCCACAATAAGACAGACTTAACTAAACACGCATACAGAAATAAATAAATAATAATAATAATAAGAAGAAGAATAAATAAATAAATAAGTAAATAATAATAATGATAATAATACCAAAAAAAAAAGGGGGGGGGGGGTAGTACAGAGTTTCTCAGTGACACAAACATTTACATACACATATATTTTGACATTGTCCAAGAGTATGTTGTTCTTATTTTACTGTGCTTTGTCTAAATAGGGTTTTGCCACAGTCCATAGGTCAACAGTCCGTTTGTTTTTTGTGTCCAACGATTGAGCCGCCTGCTCCATAGAAATTAAATCCAAAAAATCTTTGTACCAATTGTCTATCTCGAAGCACTTATGTTTGCATTCCTTCCAGTTCATCATAATAATACGTTTTGCTGATAAAAAACCCCAGTGTGTGGTCCAATTTTTGGGATGACAATTCTTCAGTTCTTATTCCAAATAGGCACAACAACGGGCATAGAGAAATCTGCTCATCAAACATACAAGACAGACGATTCATTACATTCCAATATTGTTTCACTTCAGGGCAATGCCACAACATGTGTATGAGTGTGCCCTCTGCCCCACAAGCATGCCAACACAGTTTAGATCATTTGTTATCCATTTTGTTTAGTATATATGGTGTTATATAAGCTCGATGTAATAATTTGAGCTGCAGAATTTTATATCTCACATTTAGAAATTTTTGTGGAGTTTTGCAGTGCTGTTTCCCATTGTGAGGCAGTAATAGGCATTCCCAAATCACGTACCCATAGATTTTTTGTTGAATTATTGACATCCCCTTTAGTGTGACGTAAAAGTTTATAGATTCTTGAAACTGTGCATTGTCGTGCAACAGCACGTTTTAATTTTTCCTCCAACTCCTTCTTGTCCCCCATGCTCTTATCCTGTGACAATGAAGATTTTAAGACAGATTTAATTTCCATGTAAGTTAAGAATTCAGATTCTTTCAAACCACTCCTAGTTTTTAATTCATTGAATGATATAAAATTATTTCCATTCTTAATCACCTGTGATACATTATTAATATTACTTAATTGCCAAGTTTTGTTATTTAGAGTTCTTTTACCTGCCATAAACAGGGGAATTAGACCAAAGGGGACAAGAAGGTAAGGATTTCCCAGTAAAGTTTAAAGTAAGTAAGTAAAGTAAGTCCTCAAGCCATTTCCAGCTTCCAGTTTCTCGAGTACTACAATAGGCCCAGTTTAGGGATACCTAGAATTGTATGCTATATAATATAAATGAATATCTGGCAATCCCACTCCACCCTTGTCAGGGGGTTGAATTAATTTTTTATGGCCAATTCGTGGCTTTTTGCCTTTCCATAAAAAGTCAGTCATCAATTTGTTAATTTCTTTAAACCATTTTGGGGGGAATTTTAGAGGAATAGACGAGATAATGAAAGCTAGTCTAGGAAGAAAATTCATTTTAATTGTTTCAGCTCTGCCCCACAGTGAGAGGGGCAGAACTGTCCATCTTTGTACATTTTCCTTAAGAGTCTTCATGAGGTCGGCCATATTCAATTCGACCATAGTCTCAACAGGAGATCTGATTTGAACACCAAGATATTTCATACTTTTAGGTTTCCACTGGTAGGGGGCAGTATCGAGATGAGACTGGAAGGTATAATGGTTAAGAGGGATAGCCTCACTTTTTGCATAGTTAACTTTGTATCCAGAATTTTTTCCAAAATCATCAACTAATTTAAGCAACTGTGGAATAGATCTTTGCGGATTTGTTATAGTTAATAAAATATCATCCGCAAATAAATTTAATTTGAATTCATAATCTGCAGTATTAATACCCAAAATAGTTTTGTGTGTCCGTATTGCACACGCCAGTGGCTCTAAAGCAAGAATAAAAATAAGGGGAGAGGCTGGACATCCTTGACGTGTAGAGCGGTATAGTTGAAAAGATTCAGCGTCACATAGGCGATCTGCGGAGAACACCATACAGCCCAAATAAATAACCGATCAACTCACTGCACCAGCTCAATGCTCTTCTTTGAAAGTAAAAAGGCAAGAGTCACACGTGTGTTTCTTTACGTCCAGCGCATGTGAAGCTACAGATTAGTGATAGAGACTCTACTTCCTGTGGACTTTATCTCCAATCTTTTATGCTTTAAAAACCATGTATATGAATTATTGCACCACATTTCACAAATAATAATAACTCAGTTTTGTCTTCTAAAAATTATCTAAACTAGAAATGCAATGCTCTGAGCTCTAGAAGTGCAGTGGTGAGTGATTTTACTGTAGACAGGAAAAAGCTGACACGATCACGCTCACTTTACACTTTACAGCCTGTGGTCTGCAGACAGATCCCGCTGCTCTCTACCTACATATCAATCTCTCGCTGTCCATGATGCTGAATGCAACAGATCGATTGATAGGGCGGGCTGCTCCAGTCCTCTGTGCTCGACCGCGGCTGGTTCTGAGGTGGTGCAGCATCCAGACAAAAGCGCGAATCCCGTTTGGTTCGTTATATGTTGTTCTGAGCGTCCGTCTGCGCACGTGTTTTTTTGTTTTTTTTTTTCTTTTTTTCCTTTCGGGGAAAGCGCTTCTCAGGTGGAGGTACCAGACACCACCCCCGCTTCAGCTCATCTATTTGTTCTGCTGAAACAGTTTTCATGTGTTTCATTTGCACACAGCTCATGGATCAGATCCATGACCAGAGATGAATGAGGGTTTTACCCCTGAAGAAACCATATTAAAACAACAACAACAAAAATCATTCCTTTTCCATTTTCACTCATTTTTGAAAAAACTCCAAGGAGCCACTAGGGAAGTGCTAAAGAGCCGCATGCGCCTCTGAAGCCGCGGGTTGCCAACCCCTGACCTAGTGTAAAGTGACTATATAGTTGCTGTCCACATTACTGGACCTGCACTGATATGTAAATGAGTTGTAACCAGATGTGCGAATGTTCCGCAATTACCCATATGATTAATTACGGCAACACCCAGCAGCAATCTGACCAGAACTGAAGAAGTCGCTTGGATGAGCGGTGACAGATTAGAATTTTGGGGGGGATCATACCTGGACAACAGAGTGATAACACAGACTTACAGAGCATGACTTTACATTGGTAAATAGTGTTGTTGTGCCCTCACCTCAGTCTGCACCATGGCTGGCCTCTGGGTACGAAGTAGCTTAACGGTCTGGAACATGTCCACTATGGCCTCGTACCTCAGTCGCTCCAGGACTATGCTCAGAGCCACGAATACACCGGTGCGTCCAACCCCAGTACTGTGCACACAACACACATCATTGGGGAGAATAGCTTCACTAATTGCTATCATTCTGATTCATGTTTATTTTAAGATTAAGTTTTTTATGATGATTAAGTTCAGTTCACAAATGACACACTAAAATTTAAATAACTAAACCAATACAAGAATTCCATGCACTCCACATGGGAAAAGTCAGCTGTTAAGACCTGCATGCCAAATTATGCATAGGGTCTACAGATTTATTTGTACTCATGAGGCGTAGAATATTTCCATGCTTTTGATCAAGAGGTCTCATCTCTGCTGTTCGCAGATGATGTTGTCTTTTTGGCTTCATCAGGACAGGACCTGCACCATGCATTGGGACAGTTTGCAGCCAAGTGTGAAGTGGCGGGGATGAAGATCACCTCCTCCAAGGCCATGGTTCTCGACCAGAAAAGGGGTCTTGCCCTCTCCGGGTGGGTGGAGAGTTCCTGCCTCAAGTGCAAGAATTAAAGTATCTCAGGGTTTTGTAAACGAGTGAGGGTGGAAGATGGAGCATGAGATTGGATCACACGGATTGGTGTAGCATCTGCAGTGATGCGGTCACTGTTTTGGACCATTGTAGTGAAGAAGGAGCTGAGTCGAAAGGCAAATATATATATATATATATATATATATATATATATATATATATATATATATATATATATATATATATATATATATATATATATATATATATATATATATATATATATATATATATATATATATATATATATATATATATATATATATATATATATATATATATACATACATACTGGTACTGCTCCACAGGGTACAGTCATCATTTCTGTTTACCCTATACACATCAGACTTAAGATACAACTGCAAGCTGGGTCACAAGCACAAATACTCTGATGACACAGCCATTGTGGGGTGTATCAGGAACAGTGACGAGGGGGAGTACTGGCAGATCATTGAGAACTTTGTGGTTTAGTGCATGGCTAACCACCTTCAACTGAACACTAAGACCAAAGAGATGGTGGTGAACCTTAGGAGTAGCAGGCCACAGCTGCAACCTGTGACCATTGAGGGGGACACTGTGGAAGTTGTAAAGAGTTATAGGTATTTGGGCTTACATCTCGAGCACAGACTGGACTGATCTGAGAATACAGACCTGCTCTACAGAAAGGGACAGAGCAGGCTGTTCTTTCTCAGAAGGCTAAAATCCTTTAACATTTGTCAGAAGTTCCTGCTGATGTTCTCCCAGACAGTCATCTCCAGTGTCCTCTTCAATGCTGTGCAGTTTAGTCTAGGGAGGAAGCCTCAACACAAATGACCCCGAGTGGTTGGATAAGTTGGTGAGGAAGGCAGACACATCTGTGAGTGAGAAGAGGGCCCTTAACAAGCTCATGTCCATCCTGGATATCCCCCAGCACCCCCTGCACAGCACCATCACTGGACAGGAGAGCACCTTTGGGGACAGGCTGTTGTCCATTCCTTGCTCCACAGACAGACTCTGGAAGTTGCTTGTTCCACATGCCATTCAACTGTATAACGCTCACTATAATTGAATTGGTGTGCTTGTTATTATGTTATTATTATTTTATTATTATGTATATATGTATTGTGCTGCCTGAAATATCCTTTCGGATAATAAAGTATTTCTAATCTAATTAATATAATAACCATCCAATAATGTAATCTACTATTGGTTCACTCAAGTTATTACAACTATTACGTTATTGCAGTTATTACATTAGGGGCTTATTACATTTAAAATTTACCACATTATTATTTTATTGGTCGTTATTATGTTATCAGTTCCTACATACCTTTGTTGCCTTCATTTGCACACTGGAAACATGAAAACTCTGTATACTCTTTATATTTTACAGTCACCTGCAATGTACAGTGATAGGTCCGTCTTGGCCAAACTGCTCCTTCGTCTTGTGAACTTGCCCAATGAAATCAATGAAGTGTTCGGCTGTTTTGGGGACTCCTTGTTCTGGCCAGTCTGTGAAGTGGAACTGCCTGATGGTTCTTGACTCACCATTCTGAAAATAAAGGGATGAATCAACAAAATGGAAGCAAAAATAAACATAGCACAATAGTTAAAG